TGGGGCGGTGGCGTCGGCGGGCGGTGGGTGGCGGGTGGAGGGTTGGGAGGGGCCCGGAGCGCCGGGGCCGGGGGGTCGGTGGTGGGGCTGTTGACGCTGGGCACGGCGGAGGAGGCGGTGGAGAGCAGGGTGCGCCGCGGCTTGCTGGGAGAGGCGCTCGACCTAGCAGTGAGTGTTTTTTTTTGTTGTTGTTGATGGTGTACAGCAGTAGAAAGAGGTGTCACTGTTTCGTGCCGGGGTGTGCCCATAAAATGGACTGCCTACGCACCAAAAGAGTACGGGTATTGCGAAAAAAGACCAGGCAGGTCGGACGCAGACCCTAATCCCAACCCCAACCCCAATAAGGCCGGTTGTGAACTTTATCCAGTATGTTTGCTTATTGAAAAAAGCCTGCATAGACGACTGCCGAAAATTCATCGGCGCTATTCAAAGTACAGAATGAGTTGGGAATTTCAGCGTGTGCCCGCTGAACCACCAGCGCTCTACCGGACACCGGCACGTAACAGGGACCTCAGCCGTAGTTTTTTGTTCCCCGGAAGGGCAGGGATGGCGCGGGTAGCGACGAGGCTCGTTCGGCGGGAAACGCAGTTGGCTTATCTGTGCTTATCGCTCAGTTGGGGGACAGCGGCGTCCTATTTACAGTAGTATGTAGTAGTAGTTGGAATGCTGTGTTTCGGCCCTCTCCAAGCGCATGGAGGCGTGCAGAGAAGGAGCGAAACTTTTAGAACCTCTTGTATTGCGTGAGGTTGGTTTCTTATTTATCTGTGGGATAGCATAGGTATCCGAACATCAGCTTTATCATCTGTAGCTGAGCACCTGTTTTCTTACGGCCGAGTTCTTAGGCTTCCAGCTTTTCGGGGGTGGAGTTATTTTCTCACGATTCGGTGCGTTGCTGTGTCGACTTAGAGAGCGTTTTTTTATTTTCTTCTTTTTCTTCATCCTGGGGCCGTTTCGTCCCATCTTTTCTGTGGGTGCATGTCACCCTGCCTTTTTTTTGGGGGGGGCATTTCTCTCCATCCCCACTCGAGCAAGTACATTTGTATGCAGCAGTCGTGGCTCCAATGTAAGGGTGTGTGTGACATAAAGGCCCTCGTCCCTCATATATCGCAGCCCCCTCTTCAAGAGGGTAACCAACTACACTATGCGCATCATGGCCGTGACAAATAATTTCGACCCTCATCCAATTTCGACCCTCTTGCGTCGGAGCCCCGTCTTACACTGTAAGGTATATCGGAACCGCGACTGTACCTCTAACGCGTTGCTTTAGATTTTGGGCTGCTTTCCTGTTGAAGTCCGCCTGTCGTTGTTGAACGTTAGTTCTGTCGATTAATGTCTCGATCGCATCCCCACGGCCCCCCGCCACGCACCAATCAGACGGCCTGTGGGCTGGATGCCGGGAGCGTGAGAGCCGGGCTTTGGCGCAGGGCGGTCGAAAGAGGGTCGTTCTCTGAGGACGACGTCCAACAGCATCTCGCCGGAGTCTCGGACCACAGGTGCGTGCTTGTTACAATACATGTACATGCCACACATACAGCATCCGGCGTGTCTTTGCTTGCCACACCTTGTGAATAACATGCTGTTCTACTGTACCGGACTTGAACCACTAGACCAACTGCTGCCGCTTTTTTCGCGAAAGCATGAAGCCTGCCACATGGCAGGCGAAACGTTCCTGGTTGCCATCATCGATGTTGCAAGCAAGGGGCACGCAACAGCTCTCCTTTCTATCCCTGTTCCGTCCTCTCGAGGGGACGCATGGTCAACGGAAGGCATAAAGAGCACGCCCCCCCCCCCCCAACACAAACACATTAACTAAAAAAAAA